GATGGTGGAGGTCTTAGATTCTGGAACATTTATGGTGATGCTTCTGAATGCAAAACACCAAGAGTGGATTTCACAGGCTGTGAATCTGATGTGATTTTGAAGGGAATAAAGCCTCTATTTTCTCTGAACTTGAACCACGCTGAAAGAAAGAATGTGTGAATGATACAGGCTAGCTAAGAAAAAACGACACATTAAATATTATTCCCCAAAAGTGAAGTGGTTAAGTGAGTACTTGTTTGTGTCATTATAGCATGATTATATGCATATTTATACTTAATACTACCATCTTAACCTTACATATTTCATCAGAATAGCTTAAAGTTAAAACTGATAATTAGAGAAAACAGAAATTTGTCTAAAGGCAATAAGCCTTGTTGTTTTTAAGGTAGGGCCAGGCTGAGGGCTAATTACTAAAATGCAGATCTACTGACTATGTCCATAGCATCTCTTTCTCTCAAGTATATGATGGGTCTAATACATGAGTGGCTAGTGTGTGTAGGTTGGGCTAGTCATATGCAGCTCAAGGCACTCAGAAACTATTTCAGACCTGCACTTTCTCTAAGACTCAGAGTTCATTACAGACCACAGCAGGTGCAGTTGAAGAGGGAAGATGAACAATGTAGTCAGAAAGTGGCTTCCAGGGACAATAGATCACTCACCCTTCTGCTAACACAAGAATTCCAGGAAAGGAGAGAATTTAGTGAGACATCAAAGTAGACTATCCACATAGAAAATGGAGCGACTTGAGGTGAATAAAAATAAAAGGAATGCCCAAATGGTAATAAGTCTTTGGAGGGAGATTTAGATGATCTATTATTCCATTTATATGGCTGATTCATTTCTTACTTTAGCTTCCTTTTCATATGAATATAAACTATATATGAAAGGTACTGTATTACTTTCTTCCTAAAAACCAGCAGGTCTGTCCCATGAAAAAATATGTGCTAGCCAAAAGTGTGACGGGAACATAGGACAGAAAGCTACTTGTCTCCCAGTATCTATTCTCTGTATCTTCCAGAGTTTTGCCTGGGCACATGGCTACCTACAACAAAGTTTACATTTCCTACCTCCCATACAAGCTAGGTGTGGCCATATCATTAAATTCTGGCCAATGTAAGCAGAAGGATCTCAAATAACTTCTGAGAAATGTCTTTAAAGTGGTGATGTTATATATAATAATTTATCATCCAAACTGCGACATTTGAGAGTAAGAGGGAGTGCTAAAATAATTAAAATTTTATACTTTTTTACATGTGTATTTATTAACTAATAATTAATTTTCTTATACTAGTGGGCTTGTTAACTATTGGGTTGTTGGAAAAGTCATGACATATTTTTTCTATTTTTTTTGTTGCAAAAATACATCATCACTTTTCTGACAACCCAATAGTTCTACTGAGAAACTATCTGCAAAAATAAAATTTCAAAAGTAATAAAAATACGTATATTTATGTACTTTAAAACAAATAAAAACAACTTCTTTATATTGATGATCTGCTTATTAAATAGCCAGTAGAATAATTATTCTTGGTACACATTCACATATTTTAATATGTTTCTTAGCCATATCTGTCTCTAATATTGTGTCACTGGCACATTTCTGAAGAATGTGTTTTTTTTTTAAATATGGCCTTTAAAAATAAAACTGCCAGCAATATTCTTCACAGTTGCATTTTATGATTAATTTGAAATTATTGATACCTTCAATTGATTCTGATTGACAGACCATAATATCTTTAATTGAGAAAATTATCTTTCTTCAGGTTCTGAATTACCTGGTAAGCTCACAGCCAATTTGCTAAATGGAGGAGATACTCAATTCTAATTTTATTCATATTGAAAAATGTAACTATTCCAGCTCAAATATTTCCAAGGTGCTATCTTTTTGCTTCCTGAAGAGTACTTTTCTTTGACAAATATTTTTATAAGACAAAACTTGTCAAGTAAATTGTCTCTGATTCTTTCAAATATTTTGCCAAAATTAGATGCTACAAAATCTACGCCATCTCAATTTCATTTCATTCATGTGTAATGTATAATTTATTCAAAATAGGAGCACCATTAAAAAATTCTTCCTTCAAGGTGACATACTCCAAATCACAGTTATAGAACTGCAAATTTTAATCTTGTATAGCATTTGAGTTCTTACTATTTATTTTGGTTCATTCCTTCCTTGCTTTTGTAGGAAAAAATTCCAATGGAAGCTTTGTTTTCACTAATTGTAATTCTCTAATTTGGCGTTCCATTTGTTGAACTTGATATAAGATTTCTAATTGATGTTGAATAAAATGTCACTAAAATTTTAATGACTCATTTATAACAAATTTCAATACCATTGCTAGATATAAAGATTTCTAGAATTGGATTGATGATGGGCGACAAAGAGAGAAAGCACACACTGCTGTGCTGCAGCATATTTTTGTATTTAATATCAGCTATCTCCCCCCAAAATCCTGTAGTTCAGAGACTCTGACTATAAAGATATTTGTAAATTTTTATAACAAGAGCTTCTATTTTAATTAGTAGAATGTTGACACTTGTTTGGATGCAGTTATGAATTATGGGTATGCCACGACCAATCCAACTATTCCATATGTTTCTTAGTGTAGTAAGAACATTGTTTTTACCATAACACTGTGTATTTCAACAAAATCTATACTTGTATTATTATTATAAACTAATAATTTTATCTTCCATGTTGAACTTTTAACTGAATTTTCAATCTTACTCATAATGGCTTTACCTCTAACAGAATATACTTCCAAAAGCTTTACCTTGATTCCATGAATAAATGGAAAAAACAATATATTTTTAGAATTAACTAAAATTATTTAATTACTTGAAGTACCAGTTGACACTCAACTAAAACTAGAATTATTTAATTATTTGCAAAGTATTTCTTCTGCTAATGGAGCCAAAAATCATAAAGCTATTGTTTTCCTTTTCCTATGTGCATAAAAAACTTGTAGTTAAAATGAATGAAATGAATTTAGAAGAACAGTTGTTTATCTAAATAAAAGTCAGGGTTCACAGAGTAGTATGCAGCTGCATGTGTTAAATCATCATTTTCAAGAAGTCTCCTTAAAGTAACTACTAACTTCGGAAGTAGACCCTGATACTTTTTCATCAAATTTGATTCTTCTTGTTTTCATGTGTTCGGTGATGCCACTATGACCTCCACATGGATAGTAAATGTCAACAAAGATTTTGTGCAAGTTACACATTCCTTATCAACTTTATAGAGAAATAAAAATCTATTACTTTAAAAAAATAAAACGTATACTTTTATTTTTTTGAGCTTAATGCTGCCAAAGTTTTATTGCAAAAACAAAGTGCTGCCGAACAATAAAATCGTTATAGCTTTACACTATACAAGCTAGTGTGCTCAGTCTACTCTCTGCTCACTCTACACAGCCTTGATTTTCCACACATATTCATATACACTGAACCTCTAACTTACTTTGTTTCCCACTGAGTTTTCAAAGCAGTACCTGGTGGCCTTGTGACTTGAAGGCCATGCATGCGCCTTAGGGTAACAGGATGATACACCAAGTGGCCAGCAGGGGCAGCAGTGTCAAATACTTCTCCTCCCACCCGAGACAAAGGAGTTAACTGTCCCTAGATATTCACTATCAGTAATTGCCCTACATTCTGTCCTTGATTGGGAGGTGTCTGAAAGAGTTGCGAAAAGAGATGAGTTACTGCTCGTTGTCTTTCAGATTTAATATTACATCTTAACATAACTCTCCGCTGTACATGGGTTTCATGTACTATTAGCCTACACTAGACAAAAACTGAGGCAGAGACTGGCACTGTAAATGGAGATCTATCAAACCTATGCCGGCTTATTCTAAAGAAATGGTTAGCAATCACTCTCTGTTAAAAAATAAAAAAATCCAGGACAAAGGCTAAGTCAGATGGGCTTCTGGGACAGCACTTACACTGAGATTGACCTCAGCAAACCAGGATGTACACTCACTTGACCTTCAAGGGAGGGAGGTCTGCCCTTCTCTGCCGTTCCTCCTCCTTCCTTCCTATTGACTGGAGTGAGAACACAATGGCAGCTATGTTGGGCCATAAAGTGGTAAGATAATGCAGTAAGATAGATGGAGCCTGGGTTCTTAGCTTTTTAGAATCACCGTGCCAATCTTGGACTGCATACTCCTGCATGCTTTTACATGAGAAAAAATAAACTCCTATCTTGTTTTGCCAGTTATTTTATAGTCACTCCTAATCCTAACTGATATATAAGAAATGCCTCTACAATCATTCTATAAAGCAGCTTGATAATATGTATACTAAAAATGTTGAAACACTTTGAACCACTTCTAGGTATTTATTTATCTTAAAGAAATAATCTGGAAAGAGGAAAATTGATGTGTCAAGAGGTTTGCTGAAGATCTGTTTATGTTAGTAAAAAATGAGAAGCCACCTAAATGTCCAAAAATGAGGAATCTGTTAAGTAAATATATTACATCTAAATAACTGAATGTCGTGAAGCCATTAAAAAGTTTATGAAAAGTTTGTAACGTGTGAAAATGCCCACATCATACTATGAAGAGGGAAAAAATAGGCAGGATTTTTAAAAAACCTTATATGTGCAAACTTTCACCTATGTTATTAAAAAATCCACATATATAAAAGGATGAATAAACAAACCAGACTGAAAGAAAATACATCAAAATATTAACTAACAGTGATTATTTCTGGAAGTGACATTATAAGTAATACTTATTTCTATCTTCTTTAGATTGACTACTTAACACTATCCCATAATTAACAAATAATTTCATCTGTAATCAGAAAAAACAGAAATTCATTTCAAAATCCTTTCCTAGAATTTACCATTTTATCTGGGGTTGACGCTGCCACCATAGAAATTTTACAAGCATCGCCATATGGGGAGTTGAGGCAGCAGGGTGCTGCGTCTGCGGCTCCTGTCGTCAACCAAGGGCTATCTAGGGGCCATCCAGACCCAAGCAAAGCCCGCCCAGTTTTACCTTGGTGTTCTGTAGCAGAGCCAGACCGTTGCAGGCATTTGCTAGAAGAAAGTCTCCACTCAGGATAGCTATTTTGTTTCCAAAATGCATGTCTTTCAGTGGCCCATCAGAAGATTGCAGTTCACTTAAATTTACTATTCCACGATGCACAAGGAGAGCAGTATGGATAAGTTCTGTGATCTCTGCCAAACTTCTTTGACTAAAACATAAAGGTAAGACTTGTCTGAGAGTCAAGAATATCAGCTTATCACTAATGCCAGACTTCGGTTTTCAACAATAAAATGTTTATAGATTAGTCTCTTTTTTAGGTTGTTTCTTTTAATGAAGTTTTTAAATTGAGATATAAATGACATATAACATTATATTAGTTTTAGGTGTACAAGATAATGATTCAACATTTGTATATACTGCAAAATGATAACCCCAGTAAGTCTAGCTAACATCCATCACCAGTTACACATTTTTTTTCTTATGATGAGAATTTTTAAGATCTACTCTCTTAGCAACTTTTAAATATACAATGCAGTATTATTAACCATAATCACCATGCTGCAGTGTATTACATCCCCAGGACTTTTATAACTGGAAGTTTGTACCTTTTGACCACTTACGCCCATTTCACCTACCTCCCACCTCCTGCCTCTGGCAACCACAAATCTGTTCTCTGTATCTATAAGTTCAGGTTGTTTGCTGTTTTGTTTTGTTTTTAGATTCCACATCCAAGTGAGGTCATATGGTATTTGTCTTTTTCTGTCTGACTTATTTCACTTAGCATTTTGAAGTCTGCTGCTTTTTTTTTGAAGGTTTTAAATATACTTTATTTCTTCAATCACGCCATATTTTAATGGGTACACAGTGCTTTTACTTGGCATCAATTATGAGTTGGGTTTGAAACAGCTCAGTATTATCCAGGTAGGATGATTACTGATCTCTTCATTCCTGTGGAGTGACCCTGCCAACAGGGGCAGGTTCCATCTATTCCAATTTGTGTCGCTGTATATGTCCATGTAGCGGCCCTACTAGCTAATACAGCATTACCATAGATGTCATGGAAATTGGGTATACATTTCTGGTGTTCTGCCTTGCTGCTGTTTGCTGAGTGCTTTGAACTCAGAGATGACTTACTATGTTTTTAGCTGAAGGAAACATCGTGAAGCTAAAGACAGAATTGTGGCAACTACAGTTGCTGGTTTGGTTGTGACTTCACGTCAAGGACCCTTGCAAAAAGACGTCCATTAAGCTTTTAACAGAGGCCTCTCCACCAAGTACGTAGTTTGGGATCTATAAGCAGATCTTGACACCTTCCTTCTCTATAAAATTTCCCACTCTCTACCCCATGAGTGACCAGGATTCCCAGAGAAGCTGGCTAGTGGAGGGCTGTGCTTCACAGTTCTGTTTACTTTGAAGTACTCAGTAAACTTTCCCATCTCTGTAACGTTACGATTTCTGAGAGTCCTTACTAGTATCTAATAAAACTCCAATATAAGTGAGAATGTAATTTGTGCTAGGCATTAGGCTAAGTACTTTTATACATTATCTCGATTAATCCTAAATGCAAGAAAAGAGTAAATTCATGGTTTAGATTTAAACCTCATTACATCCCAAAGAAAATCGCCGAGGATGGAGGCTTATAAATTAACAGAAAAGATTTCTAAAAAGGAGCTTAACATTTAAAATTATCCTTTAAAAGAGAGACTAAAAGAAAGGAATAAAAATATATTTTATTAGTATCCTGCAAATGTTTTCTAGTTTATAAACCCATTCACTATAAAAATCCATATTATTACATTTCATAAAAATTGAACAATGAGATTATGTGCAAGTATAAAACTCAAGAAGGGTTAAGCACTGGATAAATCTCTCATGCAGTTCAGCTTATGAAAGTAATAACCAGGCAAGCAAGAAATTGTAGGTGTTTTAAATTACCTTAAGGGTGAAAATGAATAATTGTGAGCTTTTAATAAAGACATCTATAATCATAAAACAGCATTCATTAAATAAATAGCAATTTTTAAATGCCACATGGCCAGAAACAACAAAAAACAACACCAATAATGAAAGTGAAAACCCATCATTTGTACAGTACCCACCATTTACAAAGAACTCTCATTTATATTATCTACTTGTGATTCTAATTACAGCAGGTCTGGAGAGGTTAAATTCCTGATCAAGAACACTCAGTTTATAAAGGACAAAGCTGGAGCTCAGAGTCACCTTACAGTGACCAAGGATAACTTAAAATGTGTATTTACCAAATGAATAGTAAATAAAGGGGGGGGGGCAAAGTTACCAATGTTACCAACACTAGTATATGCCCACCACAAATTTGTCCAATTTTCATCCTTAAGTTCTAAGCACTAAGGAAGAGAACCTTGCTGGGAGAAAGTATATTATGAACAGACTTGACTCTTTTGTTCATAATTACTGGGGAAAGGAATCAAGTTATTTCCAAATCATTTGGTTTGAACCAAATCAAGTGATTTCGCCCAATCAGGAATCTAGATATTAATAACAGTCCTACTTCCACCTATAACATCAGACTGGGCAAATCCCTTAAATGCTCAGACCCCTGGTCTCCTCATCATTGGAAAAACAGTCACTTCCAGTTCTAAGATTCAGGGATTTCAGCTCTAAAATTTAATATTCAGTTATAAAATTCTAAGATTTGAGAATTAAAAAAAAACTACCTGGACTGGCAGTTAATTGTTTAAAAAAAAAGACCAAATTATTGCTATTATTGGTACCTACGTTTCCATAGAGAATAGAAATAAATTTTAAAAAAATGATGGTCATCTTGAAATCCATCCGGAAATTCCACTATCTGGTACTGTGTTAACTTCTAAGATTTTATCGTCAGATAAACAACTCCAGATCAGACTGTGCAAGAGTCTAATTCAGTGCACAGCAGAGAAGCAGAATGAAAGAAGCTGAAAATATTTCCTTCTCATCATCTTATTCCTCTTTTAGCCATCCAAAGCACTCTAGTAAACTTTCAATGTCCTGGATTTAAAAAAATTATCTTAAACAAAAGTCTTCACGCCATTTTATGTACATATACTTTAGTACTTTGGGGCATTTTTCATGCTAAATCTTTTTTTTTTTTTAAGATTTTTATTGGGGAATTGGGGGGATGGGAACAGCGCTGGGGAATTGGGGGAAAGGGAACAGACAAGTTGCTGTCCTTTTGTTCTTCAGTCTAGTTGTGGAGGACGTTGCTTCACTGGCCCAAGTTGG